GGAGGGGATAAAAGGAAAATGAGCTAATGCCAGGAACCCAAGAGGAAAGCAAATTTTGAGAATGAGGGCAACAAATGTATAAGTGTGCTTTACACAATCGATGTATGTATGGATTGTGATGAATTCTATGAGCCCCAATAAAATGATTTAAAAAAAAAAAGTTGGGGGGGCCAGCATAGTTACTGCCGTCAAGAGGTCTTGTTCAGGAAATCCCAACTGGAGGACCAGTCACCCAGTGAGCTTTGGCAAGTTCTCCCTCCCTGGGCCTGCCCCTGCCTCCCCGCTCCCCTAATTCATCTTCGTGAAGTGCATCCATCCCACCCTGAAGCACAGGGATCATATCTCTGGACAGCACCCCTTTGGGGAAAGGTGCGTTGCTGTAAGAAGCACAAATAATTAGCCTAGCCTTTCGGCCCACGAGGGCGAGGATCCCTTCTACGCCACCCATCACGTACCCAGTTTAAGGTGCTTGAATTCCGGCTGCTGGGCAGACGCACAAAGCTGGTAGAAGATGTGGTAATTGCGCTCATTTTCTGACTATGAAAGAAAAAGAAATGTCCGGAAAGCGACATCAACCCTCGACAAGTGAAAACTGCCAGGCTTGTGGACACCAGACACTGGACACCAGAGCTGCCAGCTCTTGGAAACCCATGCCGACCTCTGCTTTTAACTCGCTCGGGCAGCAGGCGGTGGCCCACGTAGCGCCCCCAGCTGGGTGCTGCTGACCAGGCCTCCCTCTCACCTAGTGGCCCAGGACAGTCTTCCGACAGCGAGCCCAGGGAACTGTTATCGCACGCAACATTCTCCAAAATGTCAGCCGTCAATTCACTGCTGTTTCCTTGTTGTGGGCCTTTAAGTAGATCCCAACTCAGAACAGACCTGTAGGCCAGGGTCGAACTGTCCCACTGGGTCTCCAAGACTACAATCTACACAGGAGGAGACAGCCACATCTTCGTCCCTCAGAGCAGCTGGTGGGTTTGAACTGCCAACCTTTGGGTTCGCAGCTGAGCCTTGAACCACGGAGCCGCCAGAGATCCTTATTTGATCCACACTAGTCGAAATGTTTAGGGAGCTTTCTGGAGTACAAGGTTTATTCTTGCTCCGCTGCTGGTCTTAAACTAGACTGCCTGCATTTTACTGACTGAAACGCCTTTCTCTTAAACTCCACCTGCTTTCAAAAAAGCCGCTTTGATGTTAATTCTAACTCATGTCGGTCAGAGCAGAATCGGTCACCATAGGGTTTTTCGATGGCTCTTTTTTTAGGAAGTAGATCACCTGCCCTTTAGTCCAAGGTACCTCCAAATGGATTCGAACATCCAAGCCCCTGAGCAGCAGTCAGGTGCATTAGGCTGTAAAACAATTTATAGTGCCCCACATTAAGAAGGTATAATGTGCTCCTCCCACTCATCCAACCCTGTTGATTCTGCATCTATCCATCAGTTTTAATCAGTGGAAAAAATGAACCACCTGCACATGACTGGTGGGAAAGTTTCCGGTCCTCACGGGAAATGCAGGTTGCCGGTGTGTGCACACAGGGCTGCAAAGCAGGGGGTGGGGTGGAAATGGGGGGGATCTGTATCCTTACTTGAAAGACAACTCTGGACTTCTCCAGCAGGTACGTTCTCAGGTTGGCTCCTATGATTTGATTTCTCTCATCAAAACTGATTTCTGTGTATTTCCCAAAGCGACTGCTGTTGTCGTTGCGGGTGGTTTTGGCGTTGCCGACAGCCTAGAAAACAGACACCTCTCTCGCAATAACAACCTTCCAAACACCCTTTGGGTCGGCGTTACGGGAGCTGTTTGTCCTACAGTCTGATCCTGCAAGTTGGGGGGGGGGGTCTCTGAGTAGCAGAGGGGCGTTTGTTCCCTGGGGCAAGGTCAGAGACAGGAAACGGGGCACATTTCTAGCCTGTTGTTCAAGGCTCTCATCAACCTCACTGGGAGACACAGGTTCAGATGTTTCCTGGTCCTCAATTCCAAGTCTGCTCTCTGTGCGATGCTGGGCAAGCTATCCCGTCTAAGTGGGGGCTACTGCGCATCTTACAGAGCTGAGAGGCTTGCACGAGGCAATTCATACACAGCGCCCACTCACGCTGCAACGATTATAGATGCTCAATTAGAAGTCTCTCTGGCTCCACGGGAGGCTGTCTACTCCCATGAACAGCACAGGTTTGGGAACCCACAGGGGCAGTTCTACCCTGCCCTGTCAGGTTGCTGCGAGTCAGCACTGACTCGACGGCAGTGAGGGTGGTCTGAGTGTGGGAACCCTTCCTCCAGCCTTTATTTCTATCCTTATCCCTACTCAGACCGTCCATTCGACTCCCTTCCTCTGCTCCTATCCTTTGGGGCGCAGGTCTTCATTTCTACTTCTTAAGTTCCAGCTCTCCTACCCCAGCAACTAGACCCTCTCCACTACTCCCCAGCCCTCGCAGGCCCCTAGACCCTCCCTTGTGCCTTTCAGATGGCCGTTCTTCCTTGGGGGCTGCCGCCGTACCCTGGGGCCATCCGAGTTGGCCTAACTCTTCCCATCAGTGCTGAGAAATTTACTCAGGGAGTATGGGGAAAGAGCTTTGATTGTAGGACCTGTCAATTACTATGGTGTAAATACTCTAATCACCACTGACTGGAAGCCGCCAAAGTGTTAACCGTGAGCTCATAAGCGAGTCCTAAGTATTTAATAATCAGCCCAGGAGAGCCAGTGCCAGCTGGCTCCAGCTTATCACCGATCCAGTGCACCAGGATGCCTACCGGCGAAGGCCCATCCCTGGGACATAAATGTAAGAATCCAAGTCTGACGGTAGAATTTCAGGGAGCCCAGCATTAGAGACGAAAAGCGCCCAAAGCCACCATCTCGGTCCCACTCTCCCTCACATCGCACTGCAGGACAGGCTTCTAGGCCCCTCTCTCCCCTTTGGTCTTTAGAGGGCGGGAGCTTGAGTGAGCAGACAAACCAACCCCCTCCGTGGCCGTATCACCCCGGCCTCTGCCTCTGGCCTTGACCGCCGGCCGCTCCCCTCTCGCCGGGGGACTCACCTCGGTTATGGGATTGGACGCCAGAACCTTGTCCTCCACGTGCGCCTTACTGCTCGACTTGCTCACGGTGGCGAAGTACCTCATGGCATAGCGCGCCGACACCGTCTTCCCAGCCCCCGACTCCCCACTCACAATTATTGACTGATTTTTATTGTTTCTACAAAACATAAGAGGATTCTTTAAAAACAAACAAAAACGCCCGTTTCTTCCCACCTAAGAGGCAATCTATGCTTATGAAGAAAACCGTAGGCAAGTAGGAAGATGGGAAAGTTTGCTTCCTCGCCCCCAAAGGAATGAGTCTGAGCATTCGGGTGAATTTCCTCCTGGTCTTTTTTCTAGGCTGCACACCTGAACGCAGCCTTGTTCTTGCCACACCTGTGTGGAGAGCAGCTAAAGCCCACCCCAGGTCCCCATTGGCTGATGCACTCGGAAGCCTTACTGGGCTCCCCACGGAGAGCCAGGGCTCGCTGCCCTGGGAAGACACCCCCCAAATCAGCAAAGGGTAAGGTGCAAGTGGCCCAGTCTGGAGAAAACCAGGCACGAGGTCCCAAGTGGAGTCACTAGCATGTGCTTTAGGGCTCCAACATGTGAAAGGCTTTCCTTGGGGGGGCCTGTTCCCTACCCCGCACCCCAATTCCAGGTTCCCCAGGCGCTCAGTACACACTACATGGTATACTCAAACGTCTACCTGCAGTGAGCCACGCTCTGCAGGGAGCGTGGCGGGGGGGCCTTTCTACACCAGGCTCTATCGGCTCTTTGCAGGTGTGAAAGCGCTTCCTTCATTGTCCTGTATCACCCGAACCCGATGAGAGTTCTCGGAAGTACGAGGGGCTTCAAAAAACGTTCATGGGACAATTCCATTGTCTTTTACCTCCGTTTTCCCACAGACTCTTTGAAGCCCCTTCATGTTATCAATGTGCCCAGCTTTGAAATGCTAAGACTTGGGCTGAGAGCACCAATGTCCTGGCAGGTCACCCAGTCGGCAAAAGCATGGAGCTGAACTCAAACCCTGGTCTCTTGAAGCCAACTTGAGTTAGAGGACAGGAACGGGGGTCTTCCTCTACTCCAGAACACACACCCAACAAACACACTTGTCCTTGTGGGAGGGGCTCAGATTTCCAGGTTGCTGTTAGTTGCCCTTAAGCCAGTTCTGACTCATGGGGGCTGGGCTACTCTGGGACACAGACGCCACTGCCCTCCGCACGATGGCCAAGGATCAGGGTGGAGGGGGAATCCAACAGAACTTTCAGAAATAGGTGTGGTAAAAGACACGTGGAAGGATCTTTTAAATACATCCTTGACCACGCCAAAGATGCCCACCAGTGAAGTTCCCAGGGAAGCTGGTAATCATCAAGAAAAAGAAAAAGCTGTAAATGCGGGGTGGGGGCGGGGGGATGTGGAAAACGGACATAACCACTGGGGGATGAATGAGAGGCCTAGTTTTGGCCTTTCCCATCTATCCCCTGCAGTGACCAGCACACTGCTGTCACAGAGCAGTTGTCATCTACTCGGCTACAGCTCACAGTGACCCTGTGTGGGTCAGAGCAGACCTGTGCTCCACGGGGTCTTCAGTGACGGAATGTCTTGGAAGGAGATCATCAGGCCTTTCTTCTGAGTCCCCCTGAATGAACTTGAGCCTCCAGACTTCAGGCTAGCTGCTGAGCCCGCACCCATTGACATCACCCAAGGACTCCCACCCAAGGGAGTCTGCTCAATAAAGGACGCCCCTCTGGCCTGATCATCTCCTTCAGTGAGCCCGAATCAGGCATCTCCCTCCACTGAGCAGGGAACGATGGGCGAGCCGAGGCATCCCAGCCTCGTGGCGGCTACCTGGCCATCTGCTTGTATGCCTCTTCGGCCACGGCAAATATGTGCGGGTCCATATCGCCCATGTTCTGCCCACTGTACGCGTGGATGATGGCATCTCCGTAGATGGGCAACTGCTTGTAAGGGTTCATGGCCACCAAAATGATTCCTGAGAAAAGATGTCAGATGCAGTTATGAGACTCTTACTGCCACCGGCCTCTCTAGCCACTTCCAGGAAACCCCAGCTCTGCCACTTGTTAACCCTTCTCTGGCCACCTTGGTCAAGCTATGGAATGTTCCACAGCTCCGATGCCACCCACCTCACTAGGCCATTCTGAGGGATGGATGAGAAGATGTGTGGAAATGCCCCCCAAAGGGCAGGCTTTTGCAATGGACAATGTAATAATAACATCACTGCCTAAAACAAGAAACAAGACGCAGCTTATCCCAGGAGGAACTCAACATCTTATCTACATCTATTTCTTGGTCATTCTGCCTTAGCTCTTCTGGAAGGTTCTCCCCCCCTCTAGATACTTCTTTTGTAACAGAAACCCACGACCCTCTAGCGCCTACTGTGCAGGGAGCGATCTGGGTAGACGTTTGGTGTAATCGGCACACGTGGCTATCCCTTACCACTGTAGGTGTAGATGAGCTTAGACTCTGCGAAGCGGATCCTGAGGTTGTGGAGCACGGCGGGCTCGTGGAGGTAACTAAGAGCCGTGAGGTCATTCTCGCCCACCAGGATGTCAGGATTGCGCAGCGGCGGCAGAGATTCAGGGTCGATGGGATAATCCAACTCCTGTGGGGAGAGGGAGAGGGGACAATAAGGCTCTGGACATTAGGGACTTTGGAAATTTGTGCCGAGCCGTTGTGCTTCATCCTACCCACTTCCTGTCTGAATCCACCCTGGCTGCTCTGAAAGACCACCTTCTGTAGTGGCAGCAGCAGGAAGGCGGTCCTCATAGCTGATGCTCAGGAGCACTGACAAGCTGGCCGGGCTGAGGGCCAGGGGAAGGCACCTGGGGAGGCTGGTTCTCCTTCAGCGCTCTGCTTTGATGTGGTTTAGATGTCAGGCTCCATGGAAGTTCTCATTTGAAAATGGGGCCCTGCTGCTAACAGGGCCCCATGCTCTAGGGCCCCTGGCGGCTCTGAGATTGTGGAAACTGCTGTCATGTGATAGCTGGGGGTAAGAAGTGTTTGCAGGGGCCTGTGTGAGCACAGGACTCCCACCTGCAGCACCCAGACACCCAGGTGTGAAGGCTGTCCCCCTGCAGAGCGACCGTTCCCATCCTGGGCTGAGTCACTTTCCCAGGCTGGGCCACATTCAACCTCGAATCCCCAAAGCAACTGCCTCTGCACGAGGAAGGCAAAGACTAGCGTCTCTCCCTCCTCATCCATCCCAGACATGGCTGGGCTATCTGATTACCAGGCTCTCAGGGACCTTACTGTCACCTGTTCTAACTTCCTCCACCCTCAGTTCAGGGCTAGAGGAGAGGTAAGCCCAGAGAGGTCAGGTGCCTGCTGCAAAGTCACACAGCAAGCACATTTCTGCTCTACCTGCCCACGCCGCTGTCACAGTGTCGGGCAGTACTGCCAGCTTCCACTTGATACGTGGTTCTGAGCCAGCCCCACAAAGCGTGCTCCAGGTGCCACAGTGCAGACCCATGTGGGCACTCACCACTGGTGCATGTAACCTTCAAAGCTGTCCTCTCAGGGGGCCAGCACCCCCACAACTGACAGGTACTGACAGCCGGAGAGGTTAAGTGTGTCGTCTGGGGTCTCACAGTCAGTTCGGCTCTGGCTCCGAAGCCTGTGCCCTTTTGCTGTAACACAGCCTCCTGTCAACAGGCAGCCTGTGGGTCTGTCTGTCTCCTACCAGGAGAGCGGCTCAGGGCACTCCAGACTCGGAAGCTCAGCCTCACAACAGCTGTCTGCGCTACCGGTACTGGTGTCACTCAACTTGTGGGCCTCCCCTATCCCAGCACAGTCCTATCGACATGCTTTGATTTTGAGGAAGAAATCAAGAAAATTACTTCTGATGCATGATTGTTAGCTTCTCTTTTTCCTTTTTCCTGTTTTCTATTTGTGGCCGGGAGCCCTTATTGCTAATTCCGCCCCTTTATGTGTGTGCACGGTGTACATACTGTGTGTATAAGGACCCCTGGCAGTGCTTTAGGCTAGAGGTCGGGCTGCTAACCACAAGGTAGGTAGTTCAAGGCCACCAGGCACACAATGGGTGAAAAATGAGGCTCTCTGTTCCCCTGGAGGTGTGCTGTCTTGGACACTAGGTGGCAGAGGGTCTGGGTTTGGTGCATGCGGACGTGCACACGTGCCTGAGCGAGAGTGTGGGGCGGGAGAGAAAACGTGAAGAACGTCAGACTAGCTGGGGCAGAGGTGGCATGTCTCCACACAGGGCAGGCTTTGTGATTCAGACAAAGGATTACGTGAATGAGCCCTCTGGCTGCCTGCCACCTTACCAGCCTCCCTCCTTCCTCCCTGGGGGGCAGGTTCAGGGCCAGGAATGTGGCTACCTGATCCCATGGCAGCTGCTGGCTTGGGGTTTTTCTCCCCAGACAAAGCAGCCTGGGGCCTCCCCAGCACCTTGATTGTGCACAGAAGTACGCAACTGACCTGCAAGGACGCACCGAAGGGAAAAACCAACCAACCACACCAGTAGCCACCGAGGCTGTCCGTGGCCACCTCCTGGGCGCCAGGGTAGAACTGCACTCCACAGGGGCTTCTGTGGCTGAGGTTCCAGAAGGAGATCACCAGGCCTTTCTTCCAAGGAGCAGAGCCTCTGGGTGGGTGCCGTGGGGGAAGGGGAGGCTCAGCGGACAATGCGCCTCTGTCCTCTCCCTCAGCCTCCTGGAGTCAGACTCCCACTCAGAGGTTGCCCCCCAGGATCTTCAGCAGTTCTGGGGTGCAAGGACTATTGCAGCAGTGCCCTTTGACGGACAAGGAGACCGAGGCTCAGAGATAAACAGGGGCCATTACCACCCTTGAATCAAGTGGCCTCGCCAGCATCTGCACCCAGACAGTCTGATTGTAGAGGGTGTGCCCTTGCAGGAGCGTAGGGAATGCCCCTCAGTTCCAGGAGAGTCTGAGTGAAAATGCTGTGCCCTGTTCTCCACAGAGAACATTTTCATTCCTGGGAGACCCCGGCACTTCAAATCACATGTGGTATTCCCCTGAAACCATGCTTCCTGGCATCAGACAGAGCATGGGCCCCTGTCCAGCTCAATTCTGAAAAACAGTCGGTCACCATAGCTACAGATCCGGGTACCATTGCAGCTATGAAGGAACCGGGTGCCTTTTGTAGTGACTCACAGAGAAGGCTGAGAGCAGATCAAAATCTCAAGGGGCTAGAGGGTCAAACGTCACAGGCTGCCTGAGTCCCTCCCAGCTCATCCCTCTGTGGGAAGGAGAGGGAAAGCTCACCTTGCATGGCCTCGCCACACCACCCCGGACAGAGGCCGCTCAGGAGACAGAGCCTGACATGCCTGACCCTGCCTGTCTCCCTGCCGTGATCTATACACCCATCCACTGTCTTCCTCACCACCACCCCTTCTCTTCTCCCACCTTCCTCTCTCCCCCTGTGCTTCCTCTCTCTCCTCTTCCCAACCTGAGGCTCTGCTCTCCCCGTCGTTGCTGCCTCAGCTCAAACTACTCTTCTCCAAGTTTCTCATCTTCACCCAGTCTCTCTGCTGAAAGCCAAACCCACAACTCGGAGTGACCCTGCGGGACAGGGCAGAATGGCTCCGTGGGGTTTCTGAGGCTGTAAGTATTTAGGGACACCACCTGCTACACCTTTCTCTTACAGAGCAGCTAGTGAGTTTGAACCGCTGACCTTGCTGTTCGCGGTCAAAGGCTTAGCCACTTAACTGCTGCACCACCAGTGCGCCTTGGTTACTGATAAACCCACTGCCGATTCCATGTCGGGTTTCCGAGGCTGTAAATCTTTATAGAAGCGTATAGCCTCATCTTTCTCCCATGGAGCAGGTGATGGGTTTGAACTGCTGACCTTGGTGTCAGCAGTCTAGCACTTCTGAAATGAACCAAATCCATTGCTGTCCAGGCAATGGAGACCCGTGGTGACCCTGTAAAGCAGTAGCACTGCTCCCTAGTGTTCCAGGCTGTATATCTTAGGGACGCAGACGACCACTGCTTTCTCTCACAGAGTGGCACGGATGGGTCCCACTGCCGCCCTTTCAGTCAGCAGACAAGCACTCACCCATTGCACCACTGGGACTCCTTGGTTGAGACCCAGGAAACCAAAATGCCTAGCCACTTGTCAGTCTTCTCCAAACAAGACCTTGAATGCAGGGAGTGGCACAGGTGGTCCCCTGTCTGAGACCTCGGCACAGAGAGGCCTGGGGGCTGTAGGGCACTCAACGGGGGCAGGTCAGGGGCAGAAGGGAAAGTGCTACAAAGGTGACTGCATGTCTCCAGTGCCAGCCGGCCACTGGTACCCTACCCTGGGGTCTCCCACCGGGACAACCTATCCCAGCCCACCTCCCTAAACCCTAACCCAAACCAGCTGCCATCGAGTGGATTCCGACTCATGGCGATTCCGTGTGTGTCTGAACAGAGCTGGGCCCACTGGGTTGTAAGGATGGAGTCCAGTAAGGGGCAAATCACTAGTCCGTCCTTCTAAGACACCTCTGGGTTGGATTTGAACTGCCAACCTTTCCGTTAGTCGCTGAGTACTTCACCATCCAGGCCGGCCGGGGTGCCCTCCCCACCCCAGCCACTCCTGGCAGCCACTCGAGGCTTGGAGCTCACCGTGCCATCCTCCAGCCGGAGTCCCAGGGCTCTGCCGCCGACTCTGTAGTCCTTCGCGATCTCCGCAGACTTCCACACTTCTTCAGGATCGGGGATCCAAACCCTGTTGTACTGACCAACAGAATGAGACGGGCTGAACCCTGGCCTCAGCAGGGCAAGACCCTGATTGGCAGGTGCGTAGACCCGGGAAGGTTTCTTTCAGCCGCTGGGTCAAGTCCTTCATTAGGAGACTTTTACCTAACTCCGGGGTTTCAGGTCATTGTTAGAGCGATCTGCAATATACCAGGCGTGGCTCTTTCCCTGCCCTATTTCACAGGCCAGGATGTTTCTGGAGCCTCAGAAACAGAGCCTGAGAATCCCTCCACAGTGGAGACTGCGGGCTGCCTGGGAGTGGAAGCAGATGGGGATGTGGTTCACACTCACTGACTACGGGCTGGGCCTTTCACTGCCCCCCTCATCGATAAAATGGGTACACGATTTTCTCCATGTTATCTGGGAAGATAGATACGAGGATCCAACAAGCTCTGGGGGGAAAAACTCATTCTCTTTTAATTCCATGTCCCCACAAACATGGTGAGGCCTCCTGGATTAGCCTATGCACTTGAGAGCACTTTGGGAAATGCTACAGAAGTGCTATTATAGCAGGGTTATCACAGCGGTCTTATCACGCTGGCTGGCAGCCACAGATTCCTAGCCTGGGAACTGTGGAAAAACAGATGGCCTAAGCCCCGACACTGGTGCGCCTGGCAGCAATGCTGCCATGCAAGCCCAGTTAGGAGAACCCATTTACACCTAGGTGCTGAGGAGGGCCACCCTCTCCAGAACTGGCCACTGGCACCTGAGTGCTGCTAAACATAAGGAAAGGTGACTGCCCTGTCCTAATACTGCAGCTGCCACCAGCGGGTCCTATGATTCATCGGTCCCTATTATCACTGATAATATAGCGATGGAATTGCCCACCCCACCCCACAAAAATAGACACTACCTGCCTGGCCCTTGTACCAAATAGGATCTGGTCCTAATTGAAGACAGTTTTCTTATGCTATGTTATTGAAGTCATACGTGTGTGGAGTAGACCCTCAGTCTACTCACTGCTGAGCACTACAATGTCCACACAGGCACAGAGACAGCCACACAGCAGCAAGACACACTCGGGGCAGAAGCATCCATCTCCACGGTCAGGGACTCTTAAGAACCGCAGCATCTAGAAGCATGACGAATCAAAGGGCCTCCCCCTGGAGCCACCTTCTGCCTTTGAACTTCTAGCCTTCGGAAGGATGGGAACATTCACTCTATTCTTCCCAGCCACCTCCTGGTGGTACTTTTGTTATGGCGGCACTAAGCAAGGAAGCCACTCTGTCCTTGCTCTTCTGCCCAGATCCTACCCTCTCAGGTGCTCAGTCAGTCAACACATAAGCACCTAACGTGTCTGTGTGGGGCCAGGGCTGGGTTACCAAGAAAGCAAAGCAGCTCCTCTTGGCTCTCCGGGTCTCCTCCTGAGCCAGGCAGCGTGCCAGGAGCTGCATGTGCAGGTGGATCCATGCATCTCTCTGCCTGGGTTTCCGTGGTTTCCCCAGAGGAGCCCCTGAAGTCTCGGGACCCCGCCGGGCGGACAGGAACAAGAGCTGTGAAGCGCTCACGTGGAGACATTACGCAGCCACTAAGAAAGCTTTTGCCATACTCCTCAGTCTGCGTGCTGAGCAAGTGGTTACAGGAGCCGGGCTGCATGACAAACCACGTGGCCCCGGACTTTGGGAACAATCTGATCATGCCCAGGCTGCAAGCTGGCTGGTGGGACGCGAAGGAAGCTTAAAGCACTTACTGGTAAGACCGATGACGATGACCACAGCCTTCATGGATTGCACCTCCACTGAAGGCAAACGGAAATCTCACAAGTGGACCAAACATCAGCTCGATAAACGGAGCATGAAGTGATCAAGGATTGCGTTTTACTTAGATCCAAAATCCATGCTCATGAAAGCGGCTGTCAAGAACTCAAAAAACATATTGCCCTGGGCAAATCCGCTGCACAAGACCTCTTTAACGTGGGGAAAGGCAAAGAGTCACCGTGCCTGACTCAAGCCATGGTATTTCCAATCATGGGAAAGCTGGACAGCGGATAAGGAAGACTAGAGAGAAGGGATGCGTCCGAATGACTGTGTTGGTGAAGAACGTGGGAAGAGCCATGGGTGGCCCGAAGAACCAATAAACCGGTGCTGGAGGACCTACAGCCAAAATGCTTCTTAGAAGTAACGATGGTAAATCTTCATCTCACCCTCTTTGGACATGGCATCGAGCGAGCCCAGTCCCTGGACAAAGGCTTCCTGCCCGGTAAAGTGGATAGATGGGCAGTTTGAAAAAGAGTAAGACCCCTGATGAGATGGACGAACACAGAGGCTGTAACATTTGTGAGGCAGGCGCAGGACCAGGCGGCGCTGGGTTCTGTCATACAGACAGGGTCGACTCCACGGCCCCTGACAGCTTCACGTTCCAGAGGCTGCCCAGTCGAGGATCCCTGAGCTGATGAAACCTGACGCGAGGGGTCATCTGGTCCCCAACTGTCATTTCCCAGAGCCAACTGGACCAAGGCCTCCAGATGCCCAGGCTTCCCCAGAGGCCTGTTGGCCCTTAGCATCTTCAGAGGCATCTCCTTTGCCTCCACAGGCTCACAGGCCAAAGGGAGAGGGAGGAGTTTGCATGGTCCTCACGGTACAAATGGCTGTTCTGAAGACAATTGTTGGGAACGGAAACCCTTGCTGGGTATAATCGGGCACTTTGGTGTCTTTGAGAGGAAAACCTGCACACGTCCTTACGTGCCCACCATCTTCCCACACCAAGTCACTGAATTGCCATCAGGCTCTATCTGAGGGTCTGGGGACAGACACCAGCAAGAGGCCGCTTTGTGACTCTGCTCCTTCACGGCCATGAGCACGGCATCGTGGCAGATAATGACCCATCAGAGGCCAGCGGCTGCACAGCTGGCCAGTCGTCTCCTGGTACCTTTCAAACGTAATAGGAAACAGCCTTTGGGGTTGAGGGATTAGACCTTCAGGAGTTTCCGTAACTAAACCAATCCCAGGTAAGGAGATGATGATATTCTGATTTTGGTTTGCAACCATGCACTTTAACCACTGCACAACCAGGGGTCTATTAACAGAAGGATGAATTGAAAACAAAATCACCCTGCGGCCTACTTAGGCCACCAGTGCCATCGACTTTATTCTGGCTCGTGGCAACCGCGGGTCTGTCTGAGGAGACCTGCGCTCCATCGGCTGTGGAGGAGGGGTTGATGGTTCTCAGGAGGAGTCTCTGGGTGGATTTGAACCACCAACCTTTTGATTAGTCGTTGAGCACTGAGGTGTCTGCGTCACCTAGGGCACCATGCAATGGAGTAGTACCACATAGCAACTAACAAGGAACGGGAAGTGGTGGGAGGAAGGAGGAAGGTGGAGCAGGCTGAGATGACAGCACTGATCACTACACAACCCACTCGAGGAAAGTGAACAGACTTGTCCGTAAATGGAGATCGTGGATGGTGTAAGATGCGGCAAAAAAACCCAGAATAAAACATATAAAAATAAGGGCTCTGGGGGGAGGGGGGCGGGAGGGTATAAAGGGGAGCTGATATCAAGGAGCTCAAGAATAAAGAAATGTTTTGAAACTGTGGTAGCAATTGTACAATACGCTTGATAGGAATGAACTATGGAATGTTATGATATTTGTAAGAGCTCCCAATACAATGATTTTAAAATTTTTTAAAAGAAATGCATTATGCTGAATCGCAGAAGGCAGAGATAAACAAGTCCATATGGTGAGTCCCTTGAGATGAAATGCTAGGACAGGTAGGATGGATTTATGGTGGGGGGGATTAGAAAGGGGGTGCCTCTGAAGGGACACGATTGTTAGGTGCCATCGAGTCCGGTCAGACTGGTGGCAACCCAGGTGCCAATCCATCTCACCAAGATGGGCCTCCTCTTCTCTGACTCTCTACCTTACCAACCACGAGACCCTCCCGATACCAGGCCCAAAGTAGGACTTAGACAAGTCTAAGGAGGGTACTGACTGCGTTTCCTACAAGACCGATTTGCTCCTTTGTCTGGCAGTGTGCAGCACCTTCAATAGCCTTTGCCAATGCCTTCTTTCAAATGCATTGATCCACCCCACCCACCCCCACCCCACACTTCTCTTCAGTGCCCAGCTTTCACAAACCACGGGAGGCGGATGAAAGGAGCCTGGTATGTAGGCTGGGCACCCTGAGTCCGCAAGGTGATGTCATTGCTTTTTTTTCTAAGTTGTGGGATTATAAAGAGACTTTCCCCCAGCTTTGTCTCCCCGAAAGACATGCCAAACATTAGGGGCTTTTTGCCAGCATATGGTGGGAGGTCAGATGCTTAGAGACATCCTACCTGAGGGCATTCAGCTGCCAAACAGGTAGGCCCCTCTCCCTGTAGTTAAGGACAACAGGCTACTCCCTAAAGGCTTGAGACCATTAGCTTGGTTCATACCCTACTGATAATGGTTTCTATGGAGATCCAGAGAACAGATCAAACCGGCTCAGTGACATCCAAAGTTAGGCTGCCATCCTGAATCTAGGATCGCCCCTCTTGTCACATGTATATCCCCAATCCCTCCTCTTCCTATTGCATGTATATCCCTAGATTGTCCCCCTCTCATTGCGGTATAACCTATAGTGCAACCCCTTCCTGTGGCTTATGACTTTACCTGTAATTAGCGGGCTTGCATGCCCCCAAAGATATATAGGCCTGGGTTAGCAATAAAGGGCTCTCTCAGCTCCTCCCTTGGCCTCTCGTAGGCTCCCCCTCTCCTCTCCCATCCTCGCTCCCCTGTTCCCTTTCCCCTTGTCCTCCTCCCCTTACCCGTCTCTCCATGTGGACCACCAAGCGGGGCTAAGGTGAGCATTGCTACTATGAAATGTGTCTGGCTCCATTATTTCTCTCTCTCTTCTCTCTCTCACGCTCTCAATGACTCTAATATAATATTTATATATCTCAACCATACAATTGTGCCTCTCGAACCCATGATTAGTGGGGGGGGGGCTGGCCCCCCTCCAACCCCACTAAGTGATTGGAGTTGTTTTCATTCCCTACAGCTAGGTAAGCACTGCTGCTCCCGAAATGGGAGCTCAGTCTTGACTCAGAGAC